TTAGGTTTTTCCGTGAAGCCGACACTGAAAGGGCTAAAAACCCTAAGCTTTTGCTTGTTCGGAGAAATTGGTCGAAAGCAGAATGGCGGTTGCGGCTTTTGGGGAGTTGAATATGGAGGAGGCTCCTCCGATTTGGGGATCTCGGAGTGTCGATTGCTTCGAGAAGCTTGAACAGATTGGCGAAGGAACTTACGGGTATTCTTCTTCTAGATTTCTCTAGGGTTTGGTTGTGTTGATTGGGTGAACTGGGATTTGCATGATTCTCGTATGCTTAGATAAGTGAATAAACATGTATCAAGTGTGCAACATATAGTAGCTCAATCTTATGTTTGGTTTGATCAATTGGCAGTCAAGTATACATGGCTAAAGACAAAAAAACAGGTGAAATCGTGGCTCTTAAAAAGATTCGTATGGACAATGAAAGAGAAGGGGTAAACTACATACATCATCTAACTCACTACTAGCTTTGCTTGGTGAATCCAAATATAATTCCCTTTTCTTTTGCTTCAAGTTTCCCATAACAGCAATCCGGGAGATCAAAATTCTCAAGAAGCTGCATCATCAAAACGTCATCCATTTGAAAGAGATTGTTACTTCGCCTGGTCGAGACACGGACGATCAAGGCAATCCAGGTTAGTGGAGCTTTCTCTCTACAACTACATAGGATGGATCTATTCAAACTCTTTGTTAAAGCTTTGTGTCATTGATCCTGTTTATAGACAATAACCAATACAAAGGTGGAATCTACATGGTCTTTGACTACATGGATCATGACTTGACTGGACTTTGTGATCGTCCTACACACATGAGATTCCAAGTTCCTCAGATCAAGGTATATTGCATGCCTAGATAGAGATCGCCTTGTTGCAAAACCTATATGTTCTAACTTTGTCTCACTTTTCCATAAGTGTTACATGAAGCAACTGCTCACTGGCCTTCACTATTGTCATGTCAATCAAGTGCTTCACCGTGATATTAAAGGTGACTCACGACTCTCCCAAACAAAATACATTGTTTTTTACGGTTTGCTTCCCGCGACTTTATGTGCTAGAGTTAAACCAATGATGATATCTTCTTGATGCAGGTTCCAATCTCCTTATTGACAATAAAGGAAATCTAAAGCTTGCGGATTTCGGGCTTGCACGCTCATTTTCTCATGATCATAATGGAAATCTTACAAACCGTGTCATCACATTGTGGTATAGGTATGCATACTTGAAGCTACTATATACATACATGAAACAGAGAATAATTAAGTCTTGCTTATCTTCGTGTCTACTTGGTTATTGCTCTATATAGGCCCCCTGAATTGCTACTCGGTGCCACAAAATATGGACCAGCGATTGACATGTGGTCGGTCGGTTGCATATTTGCTGAACTCTTGAACGGGAAACCAATCCTGCCTGGCAAAACAGAGGTCAGTTTTGATTGAACATGTCCGCGTTAGATGATTTATTATTCACTAACAGCATTGTTTCTTTCTCCAGAGTGACCAATTGACTAAGATTTATGAACTTTGTGGATCACCTGATGAAAACAACTGGCCTGGGGTTTCCAAGATGCCTTGGTATAATCAAATGAAATCATCTCGGACCTTGAAGAGACGTGTGAGGGAGATCTACCCACAGTAAGTATTATGCAATTGCGACACACTTTACTTTGATACAGGAGAGATCTCATTTTGGCTTTTTTCTTTCTTTCTCTTGTACTCTATAGCTTTGATCGCCATGCCCTTGACCTACTGGATAAAATGCTGGCGCTTGACCCGTCGAAGGTACTAAACTAATCTGAAATAATAGCAAATTGTGCAGACATCAAGAGCCTTCATTAGTTCCTTTTGGTTGGTGCAGAGAATATCTGCAAAGGATGCTCTTGATGCAGAGTACTTTTGGACTGAACCGTTCCCGTGTGATCCAAAGAGGTAATCGAGTTCTCTAAGTTTGTTATTGTTAATCAAAACTCATTTGGTGCATATGACCAAGCAATGTTCCATGTCCTTGAAACAGTCTACCTACATATGAATCATCACATGAGTTCCAGACAAAGAAAAAGCGGCAAGAGATGCGTCAAAATGAGGAAGCAGCCAAAAAACAGAAACTGCAGCATCCGCAACACTCTCGTTTGCCTCCACAGCAACACGGTGTTGGTCAGTCTCATGCCGCTTCACACTGGCCTGCCGGACCAAACCACCTTATGAACAACGCACCACCACCTCAACTACCCGCTGGTGGACCTAGTGGCCACCACTACTATCAAAATCAACGTGGTGGTGCACCTGGTCCAAACCGGTACCATCCTAGTGGAAACCAGACTGGAGGTTATAATAATCAGAGCCGTGGAGGTTACAGCAGCGGATCATTTCCTTCACAAGGGCGAGGTGCACCATATGGCGCCGGACCTAGCGGTGGCTATGGTGTTGGACCGCCTAACTACTCACAAGGCGGTGGTGGTGGACAGTATGGAAGAGGACAGAACCCAACGGGTGGTGCTAGAAACCAACAATATGGATGGCAATAGTAAAGTCATAGGGTGTGGTATTGAATCATTTTGAAATAAGTTTTAACTTATCGAAACATGTTTTTCAAAAAAAAAAAAAAAACTTATCGAAACATGTAATTCGGATACTACGTACGTACCTAACTCTTGTACATCTATCTATTGCACTGAATTAAAAAATTGAATAATTCAAATCGGATATAAGGAAGAACTGATCATCCGAATTGAAATGCACAGGACTGAATAATCTCCATGCCCACACAATCATATGAGCTTCCTAAACTAACCTAAGATGTCACGAATTTTGTTTTCTCGTGAACAAAAAAACAAACTACGGTACGTACGTAGAACTGATAGAAGTTTCTCTATTGTTGTTTAAAAGTATTATTTCATATTAAAAGAATCATATTTATCTATACAACAAGCTCAAAATTGACATATGAACCAACACATGTAAGCAAATGATTAAGACGAGTATTTCATTTTTAAAACATAATGCACAATTTGGATTTTGGTCGATATCCATGAGGATCTCTCCTCTTTATTTGGTAGTATTTTTTTTAGCATATCTATCATTTTAATTTTGTCGAAGAGAACAAAATTATTATTCCGTAGACTACAAAATTATGAATCATCGCACGTCACCATGGTATTCTTATTCTTCTCACCACATGGAGTATTTGCGATGTTGTGAAATTTGCATAAATATTTTCGATCATATATGAATGGATTATGATTTACTCATGATCGTTCGTCTAAAAGTAAATATGGTTAACTTTCACAATTTCCAATAAAGCAAAATCTCGGTCTTCAATGATCATCTTTGCGTACTTATAACTAATCATATTTTTGAAAATATTCAATTATCAGTTGGTTCAACATACATAACTAAAAATCACACGAGGCAATCAAATATGCACGCCAATAATATAGTGTCAAGACCTTTACATTTCTTCGAGCTTGGTCTAAAGTGGATCACGTTACTTTATATTGACGTTAGCACATAAATTTAGATACAACCATTAGACACAATATATTTCTAACCTGTTATATTCAAGATCCTACCATTTCGCAATTTTTCTTTCATTCTTATTCTAGAATTTTCGTCCACTAGTTTTTTGTTTTTAAAAATTTATGGGAAATTAGTATGGATAACCAACAAAAATCTATAATTTTAAAATTAACCAATTGTCCTAAATTTTATGGTTATGATTTTGCCACATAAGACAATTTTAGTTAATTTTTTTTTATTATTATTTTTTGGTTATCTAGCAAATTAACCCAAATTTTATTTCGACTATTTTTTTGCCCACCAAGTCTTTGGATTCAGATGGACGATCCTTGGGATTTTCTCATTTGTGAGATAATAATCCCTGCATAAAATTCTTGGGATTATAGTTTTCATGAGACGACTTTAATTATATCAAATATTGTATCTATTGGAATATGTCATGTTGTATTGTATAAAAAAGCTATAAGACTATATACTTTACTATGATTATATTGGTATCTATTGGAATATGTCATGTTGTATTGTATTTGACCGGTAAAGAATGCCCCCATTGCTTATTTGATCATTTCTTCCTTTGACATGACATTCTCTATTTTTTCATATTATAATAATGTCCATTAATTTGAAATTCTTTATTCTTAATCAGCCATTCCTATGGGCAGATTAGTCTCATCAATTATTTCAACGTATAATTTAATCCATAAAACAACTTTTCTATCCCGATGGCCAGTCCTTATGATATGACAACTTATTTTTTGGACTTTTATGAGTTGAAGTTTGAACCATAAACTAGTTCCGGGTCATGCAGTCTTTTTACCCAAAATAAAATAATTTATTTCCACAAATTTTTTTATTTATTTTTGAAACAAATTTTCCACAAAATTGTTAGTCTAAATTAAAGATCACAATCAGCTGGAACTCACATAATAAGATTGTGCAACATGCCAGATAGAATACATTGTTTTTTTAGCAGAGAAATCATCATTTTTGTGCCTGTGTCTAATTACTAGATTAAATTTTTCTCATTTTAATTGTTGATTAAGACATAAATTCCCTTATAAAGAAAGAAGAATATGTCATTGATGGGATGATTTCAACTAAGACGCGTATATATTAATATTACTAATAATTAGTTATTTTACCAAACATGATTTAAGGAAAAGGAATCTTGTGATTCAAGCAACGTATAAGAGCAACTCAAAAGATGGGGTTTGGCCAAAGTCCCTTTCTCAATCTCCCACACGTCTCCCCTATTCCTCTTTCTCTCTGTTTCGACGAACACAGAAGAAACATCTCAAGACTTACCA